GGCTTAACCCCTTGTGCCACCAGGGAGGCCCAGAAAGAATTCTTATGGGATGAAATCTTTTCTCTCCCATTTATTTATTCAATCAGTTATTTGTCAGTACTCACTCGCACTCTTGTTTATTTTCTTTATGCTTGGCATCTAATCATATCTACATTATTTTGTTGTTTCCTGGGAGCATTTCAGGTTGGCTCCTGAGTCTCTTTGACATGCCCCTCTCCTTCTTATTTTTCCATTGTTTCCTTTCTGGCACTGCAATATTCTGCCGACTCATCTTATGTAATCCCCACCTTAGCCATTTCTCCAAGGAGCGTTGGGCCTTTTATTGGAGAATAGCATTTTTTTAAAGATTTATTTATTCATACAAGAACTGGAGTACAGGCCAGAGGTGTGGGGGGAGGGGTGAGAGGATTCACTAGAGACAGAGTGGGGAACAGAACAGGCAGATTGAGTGAAATACAATGTCGAGGGGAGCAGCAGGTGAGTCAGGAGAGGTCTGCTGTGCCTTGTGGGTTACTCCCTGGCCTGGGATTGAACTCGTGCTACAGTGGCTGCAGATAGCAGCATAGGTTGAGTCTTAACCCCTTGCGCCACCAGGGAGGCCAGAGAATAGCATTTTTAAATCAGAATCTGAGCACAAGATGTGCTCATTGCTGTTGAGGTAGCACTGTTTGTGGGTTTTCCCCACACACAGATCTATAGTGTGTGTGTGTGTGTGTGTGTGTGTGTGTGTGCGCGCATATGAGAGTACCAGCCCATGTTTGTAAACACAGCTGTAGTTATTTCTGTCTATCCATCTGTGTCTGTCCATCTTCATTTTGTCTTTAGCCTTCAGTTTCCAGTGAAAACACTGTTTTCTGAAGTTCCTTGGGTCAACTCCTTTCCCGCACCCGACACTGGCAAGTTGATCACTTTTGATGAGACTGACTTCTGGATTGAGCATGATGTGGTTCCACACTCACATCTTTCACACAGAACATATTTCTCTACTCATAATCAGACTGACTTCTTTCATTCCAACATGCTATAAGCTGCCTTACTACCTTTGATGCTCTTATGCTGCTTATTGTTTGTCTATACCATCGAATTGCTTACTTCCTCAGTGCAGGAGCCCATTTGTAGAAGGCATGCTCTGTCATTTCCTTTCATCTTCTGAGCAATATCTTCAGTGTGATTCTTCCCCTTGTGGTCCCTTCACTTGGACCTCAGGGGCCCCCAGTATTACTACCTGCCAGGGCCTGCTAGTGAAGTGCATAAACCCAGTCCCCCGTTATCCTGAGCGTGGTTGCCTCTGGTCATTGAGACTTCTCAGAATCACCATGGACACCCCCAAATCCCAATCTTCACACCACAGTGGGCTGCAGTTTGTTCATCAGGCTACAGAACCACCATCTGGACACTGCCCGCAGCTACTACTGGAGAAACGGTGACTCTTCTAAGGGGTTTGCAGCCCCCTCCAAAAAGCTCCTGGATGCCCCCCCCCCACACGTGCTTTCTGTCATGGAAGTTCCTAGGGCAAGGTACCAGGGATCCTTTTCCCAGCGCCCATGATACCCCCTCTCTGCTCCTGCACTGGTCCCCTCCACTAATCCAATTTGGATTCCCTGTGTGTTGGAAAATGTTCTCCTGTCATCACACAGTCGTCCTTGCCATATGGTCCATGTGCTAAGTTCTTCAGTTTCTAGTTTTTTTGATCCTCAAAATGCTATACATTCTGTGCTAAGCTGCACCCTTCCAAGTGGAAGCCTTCCTTTTGAAAATATTGTTTTTGTATTGTATTTTAAAACCACCTTCATGATATGCGGTTGTCTTCTGGAGGGCTTTTCTTCAGGAGGGCAGTGCATATATGGAAGTCACAGAATTTTCCATGTTGTTTTCAATAGCCAAGTCCACTAAATATCCATATGTGTCCCATTTTTACAGACTACAAAATAGGAAGTTGAATATTTAAGAACTCAAGAATAGAATATTTATTAGCCATTTATAATGTTTTCCTTGTTTCAAAATTGATACACATCAGAAATGGGGTGACTTATTTTTCAGTCACCCCCAAGACAGCCATGACGACTGCCTGAATGGCAGAGTTGGATTTAGGAATAGTGAGGAAAGGGAAGCAGACTCTTAGTGTCCCAAAACGATATCCGACTACATACAGATACACATATGTACATTCATATATAGTCACAAAAGAAGACACACATAGAATTTTCTACCTATTTTTTTGCAGTTCCTGGTCTCCTTGAAAGCAACCCAGACAACTGCAGCAATTTCTAGGAATTCTTGTAGGATATGTCATATGTGCTCATAAACACACCACGTTAGGTTACAATACAGAATCCCATATGCCTTCCTGCCCCCAGCCGCTGCAGTGCTCTCTGCTGCTCTCCCTCTGGAGCTCAGGAAGCCTGGTGAAGGTGCCTGTGGGCTGCTGGTTGCCACCAGCACCTGCCAAGCCCATCTGTGCTAATGCCAAACCTAAGTCAACCTGCTGGAGGAGCCCCTTTCCTGACATATGTACCATAGTTTCCTCAGTCTCTGCACAGCGATGCCCTGTGTTCTCAGTATCCTGAGGACATGGTGTAGGAAAATAGCTTTTTAGCTCTATCATTTCTCATGGGACCTTCCCCTCGGGAAGTTATAGGCCCAAAACTCCCTGGGGTGGGGGGTGAAAAGACAGGAAGAGGAAGGTGGAGAGTCAAAGTAAAATCCTTTTAGCAAGAGGCAGCTCCGAGTACATAAAATCACCCATCCCTGTCTTATTGGACTGAGACTTCCCCTCAAGGATTTCTTGGTTGGTTTTTGCAAAAAGCTCCCTAGAGGGTGTGCTGCCAGCCTTTAGGACGTGCCCCCACATGGAATCCTCAAATGCACAAAACTTGGACTCAAACTTGAATTCCTGCTATACACTAGCATCAAGTGTAACTGCTTAAATATGACCTCAGTTGTTTATCTTTTATGATTACATTTTTGCTTTCGATTGACTATTAACAATGTTCTGGTGGGCGGGGCTGTAAAACTGTGTGGCAGGTGCTTTCAATTTTTTTCTAACTAAATCTCTATGGGTAACATAATTGTAGTATTTGCTTTTGTTGGTTTGTTTCTAGAATAGCAAATGGAAACCCAGAAAGGTGTCAGCTAGTGCCCTTTAAATCATCCCCTAGCACTTAGCATGAACCTGAACAAATAAGTCTTAATAGGTGCTCAATGACCTAAATGTGTATTTTCATTTTTACTCAGTCGTGGTTCATTTTCTTTACATGTTTCTCTATAAAGAGTCATTTTAAAGCATTCATAAGAAGTAGCCAATTGTGTAGGATAATATATAACCTTGAGTAGGTCAGGGAAATTGAATGAAAAATAATAACAGATATGGCTTAAAAGTAAAAGAGGGCAGAAACATACTTGAACATTTGAGAAAAATTTAGTGCCCCTTCTCTGAAAATGCAACTTATAAAATGCATATTATGCAGATTGTCTGTTTTATTTGAATATTTTCTCAATTTGAAATCATTTCATTGTATTATTAAAGTGTAAACAAAGACAACTCTTTTCTGACTGTTCATTTATCAATATTTTCTACACTAAAAATGACTTCCTACCACATATTCCAATCTTGAAACTTGAAAATATCTAGCGTTGATATTTTTACATAAATATTATCTCCCGTTGAAAGTGTGGTTAAGTGAAAATAAGAACTAAAGCTAAATTACAATTCCACCCATTGTCAATGTATTGATATGTAACACCAAGGTGGTTTTCCTGTACATGTACCTTCTTCAAATGTTGGGATTATATTGTAGATACTGCTTTGTAGTCTGCTTTTCTATCGCAAACAACAATGTAATGTAGGGGCTTCATAAAATACCTTTCTGTGGCATATTATAAAGGCCTTAGTTAAAGGTGCTTTCCTCTAGAGAGGTTTTCCTTTGTTTTTGGGCCCAACAAATTAAAATTTACTTTAGATATTCTTGGGCCACATAACTGATGCAAAGTGGAAAACAAACCAAGGGCAGGCTTTGGGATTCTGCCCCATCTACCCAGCCTCATGGAGCAGGAGCAGTTCCTGGCTGGCCTTTACATTGGAGTTTTCACTTATTTTTCTTCCCTTCTCTCCTCCTCCTGTTCCACCCCCCTCATCTCTCACTGTTCCCCTTTCTCTCCCCCTCCTTCTCGTCGACTCTTTCCTTTTCCTTTGACATCCTCACACCCGCTCTGACGGCCCAGCTCTCTGGGGCCCAGCCCTCCATTTTGGTCTCATGCTGAACTCTCCATTTTGGGTGAACTCTATGCTTCACCTTTCTCACCATCCCCCAAATGTGGTTCAGATATCCAGGGCCCCGTGGAAAATCCCAGTCCAGAAGACTGACTTTGGCACTAAGGTTACTGATTTTACTTTGATTTTGGCCTCTTCTTTTTCTTTTGTCTCAGCCAGCTTAGCAATGCAGTTAAAATGCATTTGATATTTTATTCAGGATTTGCCTTGTTTTAATCAAAAGGATTGTTCTCGGAATCTGTTTTGTCATATGACAAAAATGAAGGTCAAGAGTATTTACTTTGGAAGATTAAAAATGTATCACGTATACTTTTATTTCCATCCTTCCTAAGATTAAATGATCCTTTGTTTAATTGAAATATTTTTGAGATGACAATTTAGTACTCTGCTCTTATTTCCACTTCTTATCAATAGCTAACTTCGGCCATCAATTCTAATGTGTTCCCACAAACCCACACAGACCAACAAGCAATTCTCAGACACTAACTGTGTGTCCTACATTTTAATTCAACTCTGACAGCTTGGACACAGCACCAGATCCCACAGGGTAAGGCCTCAACCCCATCAGACCACCCTGTCCCCCAACTCAGATCCCAGTCACATGTAGTGGGTTGTCAGGTTACCCACAATTTCTGTTCAACTTTGCTACAAATCAGAGATTCTCATGAATCCGTCTCTAAGGTTTGATTAATTCGCTAGAGTGGCTAACAGAAGTCAGGGAAACACTTACACTGACCAGTCTGTAAAAGCATATGGTAAAGGATCCAGGTGGACAGCCAGATGAAGAGATACATGGGACAAGATCTGAGTGGCTCCCAAGCACAGGAGCTTTTGTCCTCATGGAGTTGGGGTGCATCACCCACCTGGTGTGTTTTGTTCACTGTAGTGGCAGGACAGGGACAGCTTGTTCTCTTTATGACCCGAGCAGACCAGACAGGTAAAGGAGAGTCCTGGCGCCCTTAGTGGCTTTCTCAGGCTTTTATTGAACTTTTACGTGTATTGCAGCAACCAGGTATATGGCAGGCAGGGGTGCCGGGGGGCCAGGAGGCTGGCACAAGCCCCTGGCAAGTGTTCACCCTGGGCTTCTCTGGCCTTCTTTCTCCCCTTCCCTCTCTGTTCTTTCTCTCCTGCCTCTGCTTCTCTTGGCCACTATCTCAATACTGCTGCCATGGCCCACAGAGGTAAACAACACAATTATAACAATGTAACAAAATGCAGGTGCCCCATTAGGCAGGGCCATCCTAATGGCAGGAGGGCAGAAAGCCTGAAACACATTTACCCTACATCACCCACCTGGAAGTTTTCCAAACCCTTTACTGTTGGGATTTTTATGGAGTCTTCCTCCTGTAAGTGTTCTAGAAGTCAGGGGAGGTGAAAATTCCAAGCTTCTGACCCTGAATTGGTCTTTCTGGTGACCAGCTCATACACAGAGGCAGAACCAGAGATGCCTAATAGAACAAAAGATGCTTCCAAGGCTCATATTACTTAGGAACTTAAAGGGTTTTAAGAGCTCATCAGGAACTGAGAGCAGAGACAGATATCTATACACACACACACACACACACACACTTTTTTCCTATGATCTTACACAGTTGCTAATGAAATTTCTTTGTAAAACTTTATCATACTGTAATAGTTTAAAAATAGTGTAACAACTATATTTTTGAATACTTATGAAACTTAAGACATATCCTTTAACTGATAGACTTTATTTTTTGAGGAATTTTAGGTTTACAGGAATATTGGTGGATAATACAGTGTTCCCCACACTCTTTCATCTGCAATCTCATCTCCCTTATTATTAACACCTTTTATTAGTGGGGTGCATGTGTTACAGCTGATGAATCAATATTAATATTTCATTGTCACACATATATGTTTTGGCAAAAGTTTTTGGGCTCCTTCAATAACCAAACAAGATAGCTGTTATCCCATTTCTAAAGTAACAAAATTAAGATTGACTTTTAAACCTGGATTTCCTCACAAATGTGTGTGAAAAAGAGCTTGGGACATTATATTCATTTTCCTTCTATTTTACCTACTTTGAGTAACATGTTTCAACGATCTTCTTTCTGATGAAATACATGGTTGGTAATGGTGCCTATTGTCAAAAAAAAAAAAATTAACAGTTGGAAATAATTTTGTCCTCAAATTTCATTTTTAGAACTCACATACTTATCTTGTGTCACTACTAGATTGAGACAATTGTTGGTTGCCTTTCCCTGTGATCACACTTGAGACGATAATTACTAATGCAGTCATTTTCAAATATTCTGATTATAGTCTAATTAACTTTTTCTAATTATGAAAACCTTTCTTTTTGTCTAATGGCAATATAGATAAACACAAAAACAGCCATGTTACCCTGTTTCTTCTTTTACAACACATCAAGTCATACCCTGTTAGTAATGTGGGTTGTTCTTAGAACTTAAACTGTTCTGACAGTTCATTAGATTTTTGTTTAGTAAGAACAATAGGACCTAAAGGATCAAAATGTACTACCCCATTGGCAAATTAGCACTGTGTTGGATGATGATCACAGTAAACTATTGCTTTTATTTCTTATTTGGAAAGTAATCGTATACACAGAACTGCATCAACCACTATCAATACAAATAGGAGCTTACATTGATTTGAATAATAGTATTAGAATGAGTTACATTGTGATGCAAAACGATTCAGTACTGTTGCTCTTGCCATCAAACATATGTTGCATTAAATTTACTTCAGATGTACTGTAATTGGCAGAATCCAGATTCTGACATGCCTTTTCTCCACTCTGGTCTAACAGTAAATCTTGCTGAGTCTCTTGGCATGATATATAACATAACGTAATACATTTGAAGGTAATACAGTCGAATCTCTTATATATTCTAGCATAACCGTAATTGATTTCCTGTAATACTATTTCAAAAGCTTGCTGCATTCTGTCCTATTAATTACAAATGTAATAATGTAATTATATATTTTGTCTTACAGTGAATGGACATCCAGTACTAAAAAGAGCTAACATACGAATTGTTGGGAAGTTAGTAGCCAGATCTATGAGAGAACGGAAAATGAGGCAACGTTATTTATTGTGAGAAGTAGAATAATGTTGTTACATTAAGAGTTGAATAGCTATCTGCCCAAAGAGATAGTTTAATTGCCCATGGATTAATTCTGTATCAACAGGAATAAGTACAAGCCTAATTGCATATTCAAAGAACTTGGACAAGTCAGTCTGTAATTTGCAAATATGTTTGGATGAGCCACTTACTGCATCTTCTTCATAGAAACATCTACTTTGTCATAAGAAAATTGAAACCACATAGTGTCACGTTTCCTCTCACTGGACTTAAGAAAATTGTTCCATTGCCAATAAATATCTTAAAGAAACTTTAAGGTTCTTAGAACTTTAATTCTAAAAACTCAATTTTTTTTTGGCTATTGTTTCCCAAAATGTGCTTTAATCTATTTGATTTTATTAGCATAATCATAGTATTACCTTTTTTCCCTATTCTCATAGCTTACTCTAAAGTAAAAACCATAAAGTCAATATATAGTATTTCCAAGTTTACTTACTTTAATTCAAAAAATACTTGAAGCACAGTGGCTAATACCATACCAGTCCCTTAAGAATCTTGAATTTAATGTTATTATCTATCCACTTTTCATCTATCATCCATCTGTCCACCCATCTATCCATCCATCTAACTGTCCATCCATCCATCACTTTATGAGTGGGAGTAGAAAAAAGTGTAAGGCTACTGATTGAAAGAACAGCTTCTTTGTGTAGCATAGAGAGTAAATATGAAGAAAGGTGAAACTATATGACATGACAGCTGTTCCATTTTTTCAGTTCTTACCTCTGATGTATTACTTCTGTGAGTGTACCTTGGACAAATAAAATCTCTTTCAGGATACTCCATATAATAAACTTTGCTGTTGAGTTCTAAGGGAAGTCATTAGAATGACCTGTTTAGAAAAGTCAATTATAAGAATCATGTTAACTCAGGGCCTCACAAGAAGCAGAATGAAGGTGAGCTAAAAAACGTACTTATGTGCCAAGTAGAAAAAGTTAGCAGTAAAACATTTGATGGGAGGGGAAATATGTGATGACTAGATAAAATGTAGTGGTTAACTTAACCATGGAAATTATCCTTATTCTCCATGGTGATAATTATTAGAATTTCATTAGAAGGAGAAAGTGTTTTCTTTATTTCAATGCTGAAAATATCTGGAAAATGTACAACAAAAAGGGGAAAATTACACAGGTCAAATCCCCAATTGGTAACAGATCATTGACCTGATCATTTTGGTATCATTATTAGGATAAAAAATTAGTTAGACTTCTGCTACCTTTCTTCCAAAAAATAGGGAGTAAAGCACAGAGTTAGAAAGAAAGGCTCTGGCAACCTAAAATACAGGATTTCCTGATGTATGCTGTGTAATGTGTCATTATTTCAAATGGAAAATATATCTATAAGAGAAAATAATTTAAAAAAATATTATCATAGTTACCATATAAAATAAAATATAAAAATTAATTATGCTTATTAGCACCAGGATACAGAAGAAATTTATTTTTCCTTTGATGAAATGTGATTATTCTTGTCTCCTGTTTCCTACATTTGACAATTATTCTTGATTTTTAGCAAACTAAAGTAGAGCTACTGAATGTCTTTTAGAGGTATGGTCCTACATTAAGTTCAGGAACAATATGTCACTCTGGAGCTGTAGAAGACAGTATAAGGTCAGGGGAAAGAAGCCTTCACTTTTCAATAGTCAGTTTCTATATAAAAATTGGCACTTGGTGCTCATCAAAGAACAAGAAATATTGGCTATGCTCTAAATGTCCATTGTGTTTTTGAGCCAACTACCTGAAGGAAGTCATCACTTATATGTAAATGAACTGTCAATGGCTTGCCACTGTTGGCAATCACTGGACTGTGAAGGGTATGTCTTAATAAGAACTGAAGCTCTTCACAGACTTTGATTTACTGGAAATAAAATAGAAAAGTCCTCTGAGACTACAAAGGACACTTGTTTCAGATAAAACGTCTAGACAGTAGCAATATATTTAGGGCTTTTATTATAGCAAAACTGCAAATTAGAATAGAGTGGTGAGAAAGTTCCTGTGACCCAGCTGAGTTCTAAAACACTGCTTCTGACTAGAGTAATATAATCTTTAAAATAGCTAAGCCAAATTAAATAAAAGTGCATTCAGGAAAAAAAAAAAAGAAAATTCAAGATTCAGGTTTGTTGTAGCTTTTAAATTGTCTATGTCTTATGACATACCTCCTTATAAATCAAAAATTTTCTTAACTCATGCAGCTATTAGGGTAGTTGAAATAGCTGAAAGCCAGATTCCTATGATTCTGCAATATGATCTACTCAGAAAAATCTAGATTTAAGGTCATCTTTCCTTTCTATTCATTCTTTTACCCACTTCCATTCCAAAACATACCATCAAAATATTGAATCCTGTGTCACTATTAATTTTGTTAATAACAATGATACATTAACTTTGCAAAATACTTTAAAATTTAAAGTATAATTTCATACAAATATGAATTATGGAAGCTTTCAGAGGTAGAACAGTTTTATATTAACCTCTTTCTCCCAAAGCACACTATGTGGTGAGAAGTACATCAATCAGGACAGGTTAACAGTTCTTAAAAAACAATCCTAAAAATCCCATTGACTTAATAACTATTTCTTTTTTGCTCATTCCACAATCCATTGTGAATCAGCATGGGACTCTGCTCCATGCAACATTTAGAAAGTCAGGACTTTTCCATGTTGGTATTTAGGCATTCTTTTGGGTACTATGGCCATCTTTACATGCAGACATCCAGGCAG